GAATTTCCTAGGGAAGGAGAGTATAAGAAGATGCATAAGAGTCTTGTCCTAATCCCAAAATAGTTTCATGAAAATACAACCAACACAAGCACTCCATAATTATTCAAATGTCGTCCAAATATGACTTAATTTATGTTTCAATGAAAATAAACACTCCCTAAGTTAGTTGAGTCCAACACACATTGCTTGTGTTTCTATTATGGCATTTAGTTCATTTTAGTTTGGTTATGGTTTGTTTTTAAAATATTTACATCATCCCCGGTCTCTAAGTTTGTTGAAATCTCCTAATGTCCTTTTTAATCCCAACTCACATCCAAGTGGAACCAGTGAATGTGATCTGATTGAGAAATAGAGCCTCTCCAAATGTATTCAAGGTAAGATGAGGTCATACTGGATTTGGGTAGTCCCTAACTCCAATGACAGGTATCCTTGTGAGGAGAGAGAGATTTGCAGATATACAGATCACACAAACACAGAAAGAAGGAGGCCAGTGTGAAGAGACACAGGAAAACAACCATGAGGCAGAGACTGGAATGATATAGCTGCAAACCAAGGAACATCTAGGGTTACCAGCAACCCCCAAAGACTGGAAGACATAGGAAAGGATTCTTTTCAAAGCTTTTAGTGGGAACCTGGCCCTAACGATAACTTAATTTTGGATTTACAACCAAAACTGTGAGAAAATATATCTGTTGCATTAAGCCACCCAGTTTATGATAACTATTTTAATCTCAGCAGCCCTAGAAAATTAATACAATATCTATCTCGCTATTCCCACAACACAGAGCATAGGAAGTTGATTAACATGGGCCCTGCATAGCAGCTAGAGAAAAAAAGGATAAACCATTAGCTTGACCCTGGGGACTAAGTACGGAGCAAAAGGGATAGGAGGACAGTAGTAGTGGCTCGATTTGTTGAGCTCCTCCCATGTGTCAACCCTTACAACTCAGCACAGATAGAGAGGATCCTGCTTCACAAGACAGGAAACTGAAATCCAAATGACGGCCGCCTGCCCAAAGTTACCAGGGTCTGGCTTTCAACCTTGGGTCTGGCTAATACTTATATCTATAATTTTTCTTCTGAAAAAATATTCCTATCTCCGAGGATCTTTTGTTCCACTAAGCTGAGGTTGCTGAGATCAGACTTCTGAGGAAATGAAGATTCTGCAGACTATTGGGAAAAGGGAAAATAGGATTTTGCCTAAGAGAGCAGCAGCCCATCATTTTAGGACCCTCGTTAGGGAGATTAAAATATCTAGTAACATTTTTAGGAGAACTTATTGTCTCTAAAACGAGCTCTGATCTCCAGGTTCTTACGTCTGGGTGTTACTAACAGAGGAACATCAATTTCTTCCATAAGGGAGAAAGCACCCCCTATAGGGTTATGATGCTACTACCGACCTCCAGCCTCAGCTAGCCTGGGATCGTGGGCATATATATACCTGACTGGGGTACTCGGGGAGGTTTCTTCTGGACTTAACACTGCGAACCTTCCCACGTGGGATTGCCTTAAAAAGCGCCGTATCTTATCACTGCACCACTGTCTGGCCCCAGAGTATGTAACTTTTAGCTTTTCCTTTGCCAACTGCCTTTATCTTTAAGAATTTTTCAAAATGGAAGACTCCACAAAATTACTTTTGTTTCAAGAGAGAGAGATTTTTGCAATAGGGTGTGTGCACTTCCTAGAAAGACAGAGAGAGACAGAAAGTGAGAAATCACCCCCCAGTCATCGTAAACCCATCTCCTTCATTTGCCTCTTGGGAATTTGGGCACCCGTTCACATACGCCTGGCATGGGTCTCAAGCCAGCAGGTTCAGGACTCTAACCATGGTCAACTACTTGGGAATCCAGACCCGTAATTACACCACCTGCTGGCCCCCAGAATTTCTTTACACACGCTGAAAGCCAGTAGTGAGATGAGCAATGTTATAACTAGTCTACATCTGATCATATCAAAGAGATTATCACTACAACTGGCTCGAATTCTATGTAAAAAAATCAGTCAACAAAGGAGAGGGGAGGTGAGGGTAAATGATTAGGAAATCGGATTTTTAAATTATAAGGAGAGTAGTAGTATTATTAAAGTGCTATTAATCAAAAGGATAAATCTTGGTTTTATAGCTAAAATCTAACACTGACTGTGTACACATTTTTTATTGTAAAAAGTGACACAAGGCTAAATCATAATAATGTGAATCAATAACTAATTAGCATTTATAAATGCAGCTACTGGGAAACATATTTCAATTTCATAGCAAGGATGCTGGAGAATCGATTCGCAAAGTTAAAAGGGAAGCGAGCACATGTTTGTCCCTATCCTGACTCAACAGGCTAAATGTAGAACTGCAAGTTAAGTCAAAGTTGTGCCCCCAAAATGCACAAGTAGAACCTGATGCCACCATCTCAATCCAAACCAATCACTACACATAGAAAGGAGGAGGCACAGAAGCTCAGGCTCCTACCAAAGGCACTGTGGAAATACCCACATCATCTTCTCCAGGCCTTTTTTAAGGATCGCTTACTGGGGATGAATGCAACAAAAGGAAATAGAAAAGGGGAATACAAGCTAAACAAGAATCGCTATCCTTGCCGATTCTTTTGGAAAGTTGCATGCATGCATAAGACTGGTTTGGTTGTAAAAGTTGGTCTAAGAAGACTGGTGCCTCCAAATTCGGTGTGTTATCCTTCCTTCCAATCTGGCATGAATTAGGAAGAAGAATGCAATGGAATAGTCAACACGAGCAGACAATTCAGTTTGCCATCACATTCAGTACGTTTTGCTTCCTGACGTGATTTTGCCACACCTCAGCACACTAACTTAGTGATTACTAAGTGCTGACATGATCTGATTCCATGTCAATCACATGCAACAGGCTTCTTTCCTAAAGACCATCAGAAAGATGAAATGGTCCTATGTGGCAAGAGGCAAGCATTAAGGTGAAAAAAGAAAAGAGAAAAAGGAAGGACTAAAACACCTACAAAAATGTAAAAGTCGAGAAAGAGATGAGTGAGAAGAAAAAGCAGAAATTGAAAGTAGCAGGTAAGTGAGAAAAGTAGAGAATTTTATCCTGCATTTTAGACCCTATGACTCAGTCGGACAAACCTTGAGCATGACTAGAAAAGAGGAAAAGTATTTTCCAGATCTTTTGGTATACCTGTCCTTACTGTTGCCTCCTTCAATCCATAGGCCAGTTTACACCAAACATTTTATAAAGTCATAGATGCATTTCGGCAACACTGTAAAACTCCCTGAACTACCAGGATGTAAATGTGCATTCAGTCTCAGTACAGCCAGCCTAAATTAGCCAGGTCTTCTAAAGAGGCTCTCCCTTGGCATCGCGCCATATGCCATGTTACTGCCACAGTGTGGCTGATGTCGACATGCATGGCCTCTCTAGATCCTAGGCTCTTTCCATTCTTAGACCTCAGGTTTTAATTTACCTTTGTTGTATTAAGAGTTATTTACTTCTAAGTGAAAAACAGCAATGGGTATTCTATATCCATTTCTGGAGTTTTTTATCCATTTCCTATTCAATCCGATTTCATTTTCAGAGCTTTCATTCCCGAGACTGGGTTCCATAGCCTCCCTTCTACCCCCAGAGCACCCTTCACGTGCCCATCTCCTGGAGCTTATCTCATCCTTATTAAACTGGTTCTCACTAAAATGGAAACTCCTTGAAGGCAAGGAGATGCCTAGCACAGTACCTAGCACATAGTTTGTGCTCAATATAGAATGTGAAACAAAAAGTGTTATTCACCTTTGGAAATGGCAGAGTCATAAGAACCAGGGTAGTTGATGAGGCTCTCTATACGTGGGATCTTCAAAATGTTTGAGGAAAATGCACATTATGAAAAAAATGCAGCATGGATTTGACTATTTTTGTACCAAAAGAATCCCAAACTTACCATTCCATTTTCCATGAACTTTTGAAATCCTCCCATAGAACAAGATTTTGTGTCCAGGAAGGGTGGAGAAATGCTCTGATTTCTTATCAGAATTAATTTTCCCTTAAGCAAGACTCAGCAATTGGGATGGGCAGCACCGAAGCCGTATGCTGTACCAATCTACCTCAGACATAGCGACGGTTTTAAAATAACAGGTGTAGTCTGGCCAGTGATGGAGTCCCGCCATCAAAGCACTGCTGTTAAAAATTTACGACTGCTTCTTTGTAACATCTGCTATTTCTTCTCTCCTTCTAGACTGTCACAACCATCAAGAAACATTTATCCTCAAATGGCAAGTACCTTAAATTATGGCTGACGGTGCCTTCCTAAACTGCTCGTTTTCTTATATCTCTCCCACATGAGTAGCCAGTGCGGGTTCGAGAGCTCTTCCACATAAATTGCCACGAGGACAAGAGTCCAGGCCACTGTTAATCCTTCTTTACTGAAGTAAGGTGTGAGAGTTCCGGCATT